TCAACATTATATCCTGGAACCTAACAGAAGAACAAATATAGGGGCATTATGGATGCTACTAGAGATCAACCAAATGACATTATGTACATTTGTAGTGGTGAGCATTCGGTGTTTTGGTTCAATTTTAGTGATAACTAAATAAATCAAAAAATCAAATAGATTCAATTTTATACACCAAACCTAAACCAATTAATTAAATTAACTAAAACCAAATTAACCGATATGTTTCAATTCGGTTAATCTGCTGACCAAAATATATCATGTGAATGATGATTTCAACTCAGAAGCATAATAAAACACAATCACAACCATCCAATACTAATATTTCCTTTTTCAAGATGATTTCGGATCTGAGAAGCATAACAAAATTTCAAACCACTTTTTTAATTACAATCAGGAATTGATTTTGAACCCAAAAATATTACTATTCTAGCAAACCCATAGCTTGATCCTCCAAGAACTCTCAAACTAAATTAGAAAATTAAAAATTCCCAACTTTCCATAACATAAAAGTCTATAACCAAATAATAAGAAGTCTCCATCAACCCAGCCAATACAATAGGATCAAATTAAGCATAAGGGAAAAGGGCTATTGACTAAAAATCTAGGTGGCCACTGTCACATCCAGTAATATGATAATTAGGAATAAGGATATTCCTAAATATTCAAGGGACAAAAATGATAAGGAGAAATAGAAGAGTTATGGTGAAAAATAATTATTATGATTTTCCAAGTCAATTATGTAAAGTTTGACTAATTAAAGAAAATTGGTCAAAAATAATTATGAAAAAATATTTTTAAGTCTCAAAAAATTAAGAAAAAGCAAGGATAATATTTCTTGAGAATTATATGAGGTTATATAATTAGTGTTATGACCAAATTACCCTTAGAGAAATTACAAAGGAATTTAAGGTTGATTTAGCCTAATTTAAGGCCTTTTATTTGAAAAATTCCAAATAAATATTAGGAAGGAGAATAAAATCCCAAGAAAATTCCTATAATGTTCTTAAGAATTATAAGAGATTATGGGATTAAAAGGAGGCTCTCAGATATCCAAGATTTTTTCTAATTATTTGGACAAGTGAAAAAATCAATAATGAGAAGGAAAAATTGTTTTTCTTTTTATTTAATTAATGAAAAATTGACTTGAGCTAAAGAGGGCATTTTGGGAATAGAAGAATAAGGAGAATAAATTATAGATCTGACAAAAAATAATTATAAAGGCCAAAGTACTGTAATTATAAAAAAAAAAATTAAACCCGGAGTACAAGTGCACCGATAAAGTGTAAATTAAAGTCTTGCACTTTACTTGGCCCATAAGTTACCACTTGTCAAGTCTCTATTAGAGAGTAATTAAACTTTTCAAGTGTCAAGTCTTAAGTGGAGAAGAGTTTGACTTTTGGAAATTAATTACATTTGGAATAAGTTAATTAAGAGAGAGGTTACAAGAAGGAGTAGGCAATTGACACTTGGCATCTCATTAATATTGGTAGTTGAGATATTTTGAACATTAAAATGAGCTCTTCCTCCCCTAAAATCATATGCTTGTTCGGCCAAGAGGAAGGAGAAGAGGAAAGGAGTGATCTTTAAGTGCAACCAAGGAGAAAACAATCATCTTAGATCAAGTAAGCTTAGAGTTAAGGTTAGTAGTTGATTCTATTTTGTTCCTTGCTTGATTCTCTTGAGTTTGATGGTTGGAAAATTCCATCTATCCTTTTCTTGGGTGCTGGCTAAAATGCTCTTAGTGTAGGGGAGGGAGTTTGGTTGATAAATCTTGGTAAAACACCTTATATCATGGTTGATTCAAGTGGTTCAAGTTGTTGGTTGGAAGTTTTTCATGATAAGAAACCTATATGTTTGTTTCGGCCAAACAGTGATTTTGCCCAGGATGAGATTTTACATGTTTTGATGCTTCCATTGGCTTTAAAATGAAGTTTTATGTAGGGTAAACCTAAGCCATAAGCATTGAAATGCATTAAAATGAAATTGGACATTGAAGGGCCATAATCATACCTTTCGGCCAAATCAAGATCAATAGGGAGAAGATGTGTTTTTAAAATTCCAAATCCATATTTGGATTCTTCATAAAAAATCATATAGGAATGAACCAAGAAAGAATTTTTAAGGTTAAGAAATCAGGCTTAAGAATTTATTGAGTTTTGTTATTGATTTTGATATGGTTTGATTGGTAATATTGCTGCCCCTTTCATGGTTTTTAATGTTAAGGTTTATTAATTGTGGAGGAGAGGAAGAAGATCAAAGAATCATAGAAACTTTGGATCAAGGTAGTAAGATTTAATTAACTTTAATGTTAAGTGTTGCATTGATTGCTATGCAATTTCATGTGCTATTATGTGGTTGAGCTAAATTATGACGATGATGATGATTGTGTAGCTATACTCCTTTCTTTAAGTGTCTTGGCACTTGTATGCTAGAGTGCTACATGTATGAAGTAAAGTAGTTCTCTATTAATAGCAAAAAGTTAGAATGCTTTAAGTGATGCATGTTAATGTTTTGGTTGATTGATCTTGCTACTGGGATTTCATTGAAATCTCATCCCCCATATGTAACCTAACATTTTTAGGGGTTGAATCACAAAAGGAAAGCTGTAAATTCAAGGGTAATTGTGGTGGTGAATCATGAGGAAACAATTATATTTTGGTTATATAAATGTATGACAATGGGATGCGGTGACCCTAAGCAGGATGCTAACTTGGAGCCATATTTTGACTAAGTTACGGAATGAATTTCTATACAAAATTTAGTGTGCTTAAATTTCACATCATAAGCTTCAATTTGATAGGTAGCACGTTAAAAATGGCTAACTATACAATTTTTAATGATTTTTCAAAGTTAAGGTCCAGAATCTGGAAAAGGGATTTTTACCAAAAGGACAAAGGTGACTTTTGCAAAAATCTGGGACTTTCTCACAAGGAATTAATTTCTAACATTATTTTTCTTTACAAGAGAATTCAAAGAGCTTTTAGCAGAATTTTGAACCACCCTGTTTCGATTTTTCTAGATTAAGTTATGATTTTTTTAAATTGGACCGGAAAACTGAATTTTTACCAAATGAACAGTAAAAATCCAAAAATCAGTGTTTTTATGAAATCTTTGAGCTCAAGACCATCCAATGTGATCTAAAATTGTTCTAATTGAACTCTAAGTCATTCTAGTAGTAAGGTGTAACAATCACCATGGAAATTACATTTGTGACTGTGATAGGAAAGTTTCAGCCTTTTAGGATGCGAGGAAGAGAGCAGCAACATAGAGAGAACCATTTATAGATGGCTGTCATGGGCTCACGGCAAGATTGAGGGAAGCGCGATGAATGCGAGGGAGTGAAAAGTACAAATTCATGAGGTTTGAGATAGAAGATCGGCAGTCAATGGAGTAAGAGATTGACAAATCGATCAAGTGCGACCAGTATGGTGGCCTTATGTAGAAGAGAATGAAGGAGGGAACTAGGTTGAGGAACCGATTCCACAAGTAAGGGCAAGGCTATGATAGTGACAGTAGTATGCAACGAGGCTGAGTAGATGGTGGTGGTGAAGAGGAGAGAAGAGTGGCAACCAGGACTGAGTGCCTAGCATAGGAACGGCGACTTGTGTGAGCAAGAGGGAAGAGAGGTTGAAAATTTAGGTTTAGCTAGTTAAACGCATCGTCTAGGCTCACATACACCCACACACACACACGCATATATTTATAAGAATAATTATTAAATATCAATATATTATAAATGTATTTTGTTGTTCCGTTTTAACCCAATTTTTTTCCAATGACCGAACCAAACACTGAAAACCAAATTTTCAAAAAATGAAAATCAAACCTGTAACCGCAAAATCAAAATAACTGAACCGCAAAATCCAGTTCGGTTCAATTTTGCTCACCCTTACACACATGTATGTATCAGCTAATGGAAACAGCAGTTTAGGTACAACTACACCATCAAATTTTCAGCTTTAATGGTTATGTCGAAACTAGATGAAAAACTCCATCTGAAGGTTTTGCTAGGTTGGATGTTGATGGCTAACACCCATCAACAAGATTCTTTAAGAGGAAATGACTCGAGATTTGCAGACAAAATGGTTTAGACCAGAAGCGTGTCTACATAGATTCCTTGGAAATTTTTTAGATGATAATGAGAGATAATAGACCTGAACATCCTATGATAACAGAGATTACAGGGATCAAAAATCTCATCTATTTCGATTCGGAAGTCAAGCTACGCTACACTTCACATAGCTCATTGAAATGTGAGGACTACTTAGACTAGGCAGCACATCTCAACCCCGTTGCACAATAGATGCAGTGCTCAAATTGAGCAGGACAAGAGGAATGATTCTGTGGCCATCAGAGTCGTTTGCTAAGATGTAACGTTTTCAAGTTTTACTTTCGCCTTTTGATTCAAAAAAAAAAAATACAAGGAATTCAATTGGATCAAGCCCAGTTCTATTGAGTTCAGACCTTCCATCATGGCTTTCTTACTGTGGACGCATCATTTTTCATCCACAGCAATTTTTGGATTTAGGCTCGTTGGAAATCTCTCTGTGCAAGAGCTCCTGTACCACCGTTTGAATTCTCCCAGTCAGCTGCAAATCCAATAGGCTCTAATTTATTTTATCTTGTAAATCCATTTTGTTTTTGTTTTTCCTCTATTCATATTTCTAAGGATAGGAAATTTTTGTCATAGCTGCCAGTTCAGACTTATAGCCAAGGATTTTGTATTCTTTTTGGCTTCATGTTACTACCTTGGAACTAATTATAAAGATTAAAAAAAATTAAATTATTTATTTCTAAAAATTGTGTTCATTTTTCTAAAATGCCCCTATGATTTGCCCTGGAAACTACTTCATAAATACCCTTTCCATGTGTAAGGAGAGTTTAGCAAAATTATTTTATATTTAGGATAAAAGAAAACCTAAACTAAATCTTATATAATTAGGTTGGCAAAAAAAAAATCTTATATAATTAGGATTTTATATTTAGGACAGAAAAAAACCCAAAATATATGTTATATATCTTGTATTTATGGCAGATAGTAATTGACCGAAATCCATTCTCTTCCGTCGGCCTCCTGTCCCTAATCTAGGAATATCTTTAACTTCGTATCTTCACAATATAGTGAATTGTCCTCAATATGTTGTCCAAAGTGATAACTATTACTAGGGTGTAGCAGCCAAACAGAATTCGAATAACAAAAATAGATGCTGGAGAAATTAAGCACAAAACCCCAGGATACAATTCTACTAAGCATACGTTCACCCATTAACACAAATGAGATTATCAATCTTCCCAAATTTGAAATTCAATGAAAGCATTTGCACCAATTGACCAGATCACACACACTGGCCAACATGTGCCAAAGGCGTTGGGTGAGAGCGACATTCCAACCTCTATGCGATGCCTCTCACATACTGGTCCAACGTTGTATTGAATAGATCAGACCTGTACAAGCACATCGTGAGTATTCCAGATATGGAGAAATTTACGCGCTTGCTCACTTGCAAGGAAATCAACAAAAATATCCAACATATCAAGGGGGAAAAAATCAAGATATGAAAAACCATACTGAAACATTGGTTAATAGTGCAATGATCAAATAGTGGCCGGTCCATGGCTGAACTTGTCCTGATTAAATTAATATATTTTAAATATATGCTTGCTATTTTAGATAAGAAAGATAAAACAATAACAAAAATAAATAAAATTGATTTCAAATAAAAAATAATATAATTCGCCAGTAAAGATTTAAGGTAAAAATATGATTTAAAATAATTTAATGAATATTTTATCATTTTAAAAATAAAAATACAATAATTGAGATATAATATCTTTTATAGTGTAGTTACTTATTTTATAATTTATAATTTCACAGCATATGTAGACATTTATTACATATTTCCTCAGTCTTTATTTCCAATGCTTATAATGCATAGAGGTGCATAAATATGATTTTAAAAAAAATTAAAAATTTCTACCAATTACCAGTTTTGGCCAGTTCAACCAGTTCTACACTGATTCTAATTATTCCCAAAATCCCACACCGAATCAGGCATTGGTTTTCTAATCTAACGGGCCGTTCTAATATGGTTTTCCATTCCTTGCAAAATATAGTCTAGATGTTGAAACAGTAAAAACAAAAAAAAACCTCTGATTGATAAGGGACAAAAAGGATAATGACAACGAATAAAGGATTACGTTCAAGTCCAGCAAAAACAAGGCGCCACCAAGATTGAAGCCGGAAATAAAGCAAATACAACTCACCAACAGCAGAAAGCAAATGATTTCACTCATTACACTAACGACATTCGTAAACAGACCCGTGCCTTATATCTGTTCAACTCTGTTCATCTCAAATGCATTTGGTGTTTCCAACTGACGAGAGAGAATATTTGAAACCTCAATTATCTAATCACAGTGAAATCTAGAAAGTTCGAACAATAGCAAGGCTAATTGATGCAGTGATATCAAAAATCTTATTCCAACTGTATCTACTGCCCGATGTGTCAAGGTTGATAACTATGGTTCAAAATTGTGGGAATGCACATTGCATGTATCCATATGACAGCTGGACAAATGCAATTTATTAGATACGAATTAACATACCTAACTGGACAACCTGGTGCATAGAGCGGATTTTTTACTACATATTCGACATACAAGTTGTAGATGTATTTCAGTGATTCTCGCAGATCACCAGTCCTAGGATGAGTCACCAAGATAATCTGCACGAAACAAAAAAATCATGTAAAATTCCTAATAGCATCCCAATAGAAGTGCCTTAATATCACTACATTAATATATTATTACCAGAGAACAAAAAACAAGACCAAACTAGCCAGTGGTCTGGTTTGGTTTGGATATTAAACCAGGGGGTAGTTGAACCGATAACAAACCGGTGTGAACCGGTGAAAACTGGTAAAAACTAGTGTGAACCGGTAATAAACCGGCTTGGATGATTATGTTGTTATTGGTCTTATTTTTTCTCATTCAACTCCTATAGATTTAAATGAATTTTAATGATGATTTTGATATCAATGATTATTAATTTTAGTTAATGATGAACTATAAAGATCAAAATTCTCAATATTGGTATAATTTGTTATTGCTACAATCAAACTATTGTTATATGTTGATGCTGCTTGAGCTTTGGCCTTCCTTATTTAGCAATATTTAATCAGATTTACTTTCCCATCAATCTCCGAGAATCATGGCAGATCTGATTTTGTTTTTGAATTTTGAATTTGCTGATTCTCCTCTGATTATGTAATTATAGACTGATCCTAGAATCTTCTAATAACCTAGGATTATTCCTATAAGTATTGTACACTGTCAGTCGAATAAAAATATCTTTTCTGGCATCAAATTGTTCATTGTATCAGAGCAACAATGATCCGGTTCAGCTTTGGGCTGGAAGAGGAAGGCCAGGGGGATTCAAGCTCTTCGGCGCACAACTCCACCGCGTCATCGATGAACCCAGCTGTGAACCACCAAGTGCCAAATGATGCCAACATGTCTCAGATCACTATCCATCGTTTGAATGGACAAAATTACCTCCAGTGGGCAACCACTGTCCAGCTACGTCACCAGAAAAGGGAAATTAGGATACCTAAATGGAGCAACAAAAAAACCAAATGCCACATATGCAAAATACAGCACGTGGGAAGCAAAGGACTCGATGATACAATCATGGTTGGTCAACTCAATGACCACAGAGATCAGTGCAAGTTTTACCTTGTTCAAATCTACTCGGGAAGTATGGGAGGCTGCTCGTGACTTGTTTGCTTCTCTAAACAACCATGCAGCTATTCTAGAAATAGAGTCTCAACTAGACCAACTCAAACAAGGTACCTCTAGTATTACTGAGTATTGGACTAATCTAGTTACTTTGTAGCAGCAACTAGATCAATACGACACCCCTATGAGAGGTCATGTACAGTTGATGCTCATTTGTATGCCAAAATCAAAGAGGAGAAAAGAATATATAAATTCCTTCTTGGACTGCACCCTTCCTATGATGAAATTTGAGGGCGGATCATGAACCAAGAAAAACTACCAAGCCTTCATGAAGTGTTTTTCATGGCAAAACAAGAAGAAAGTCATAAGAAGCTCAATGCTCCAAGACAATCGAGTGGAGTAGAACCTGAAGCAAATGCCTTAACGGCTAAGGGCAAAAAGAATGGCAAATGGTGTGACCATTGCCAAAAATCAGGACATACTCAAGATGTGTGCTGGAAGCTACAAGGAAAACCACCCAACCAAAAAGGAAAGGGTGAACCTGAGGCAAGAGCCCATGCAGTTGTGAACACAGATTCAAAAAAAGATCTTGGTAGCAACCTGAACAGGGAGGAACTAGAACTCCTTCGAGATTACTAGAGAAACATGACACCAAAGAGAAGCTAATAGCTACGAGTAATGTAACTTACACAGGTAATGCAATCCTAGCCCTTAATACTAAGGTTCATCATGATCAAATATAGATAGTTGACTCTGGGGCCACATGTATCACATGACTGATAACATTAATCTTCTTCAAAATGTTAAAGCATGTGAAATGCTTATGTTCATAAAAGTGGCTAATGGAAAATTCATTAAAGTTAATGGAATTGGTGAAGTTTGCTTGTTTGGTGATGTGATACTTAGAAATGTGTTATATGCTACTAATCTAAAGTGCAACTTGATTTCTGTAAGTAAAGCTAATCTGTCCCAGTGCTGTAACATCAACTTTTCTGCTACTCTCTGTTTATTTCAGGAGTTGGTGTCAGGAAAGAGGATTGGCACAACTAGGTTACCAGAGAGACTTTATTGTGTGGATCATCATCAAAGCAAAGAGACTCAAGGTGTGACTTTTGCTGTAGAAAGGACCTCCGTTAAGCAACTCTCTAATAAAGTAGTTGTTTTATGGCATTATAGGTTAGGCCATCCAAGTCCTAATTATATGTCCAAAGTGTTTCCAAATTCTACGAATAAAAATGTTTTTTCCATTCCTTGTGAAGTATGTCAACTATCCAAATATACAAAGAGCAATTACAAAGCCTATCCTTATCAATTTTCTCACCCTTTTTCCCTCTTGCATAGTGACATTTGGCGGCCAACCCATGTTTCAACCTTAACAAATGCAAAATGGTTTGTAACACTAATTGATGATCACACACGGGTCACTTGGGTATTTCTCATGAAAGAAAAATCAGACCTTACTCAAATTATCACTTCCACAAAATGATTATGAATCAATTTAACACATCAATAAGAGTTCTGCGCAATGATAATGGGAGGGAATATATGAACTCAAATCTTCAAGCCTACCTCAAACAACATGGGATTATACACCAAACAAGCTGTGTGAACACACCCTAACAAAATGGGATGGTTAAAAGAAAAAACCGCCACCTTTTTAAAGTGACCCGAGCCATTATGATAACCAATGACGTGCCCAGATTTTACTTGGGAGAAGCACTGTTGACTACCACACATCTCATAAATCGCCTACCATCCAAAACACTCAACTTTCACACCCCAATAGAAGTTCTATCTTAAAACTGCCCAAACTCACATCTACTCACTCACATTCCTGAAAAAGTGTTTGAACGCATAGCATATGTCCACAATGACCATGGCAGCAAACTTGACCCTTGTGCCATTAAATGCGTATTCCTTGGCTATGCCTTCACCCAAAAGGGCTACAAATGTTGCTCTTCTAACTTCAAAAAGTTCTATCATAACGAATGTTACCCTTGAAGAAACTCAACCCTACTACATCAAAACACCCATTCAGGAGGAGAGTGAAGAGAAATGGGAGTTTTTGCTTCTTGAAAATGAACTTCAAACTCCTCCAAACTTGATCACACCTACACTTGAACCCCAAACTACCATATATCCACCTCAAGCCGAGCCTCTTCAACCCATTCCAATAAACCCAAACCTCAATTCAGCCCTGGACAGAATTGAAGAAGAGCCTAGTAATGCCATAAATGAGGAATCTGGTATGATAGACCCTAATGATCCAGAATTGAAAAGTGAAGAAGCCATTCTAGAATCTACAAAAAGCATCGAGACTGAAGTCAAGACAAATCAGCACAATAAAGTGTCCTCTAGTTCCAAGCAACACCAAGACTCAACTTCAGCTCCTAGTCCTGAAGATCTTGGGTGGCCTATTGCCTTAAGAAAAAGGATAAGATCCTGTACTAGACATCCTATCTATGCGTAGCTTTATTACAAGGTTAGCAAATGAACACATACCGGCTACTTACCAAGAAGCCATAAGGGATCCAAATTGGAGATGGGCCATAAAAGAAGAATTGAGGGCTTTGAATAAAAACCAGACCTGGAAAATAATTAAACTACAGTCGAGAAGAAGACTATTGGGTACAAAGAAATACAATCCCGATGGCACAATCAACAAGTACAAGGCCTGACTAGTAGCCAAAGGATACTCTCAAACTTACGGTATTGCCTATCAGAAGACCTTTGCCCCTGTTGCCAAACTAAATACAATCAGAATACTTCTATCTCTAGCTGCAAATTTAGATTGGCCACTACACCAACTTGATGTGAAAAACGCTTTTTCAAATGGAGATCTAGAAGAAAAAGTATACATGTATGTTCCACAAGGCCTAGTAGAACATAATATGCCGGGAAAAGTATGTAGGCTCTACAAATCACTCTATAGATTGAAACAGTCTCCCAGAACATGGTTTGAGAGATTTACCAAAGCAGTAAAAAATGTAGGGTTTGTTCAATGCCAGGCAGACCACACAAATTTGTGAAGCATTCAAAAGGTAAAATAGTTATCCTAATCGTATATGTTGATGATATCATCATGACTGGTGACGATGCAGATGAAATAACCAAGCTTAAGAAGTCTCTGGAAAAGGTGTTTGAAGCAAAGGATCTTGGGGGTCTCAAATACTTCTTAGACATGGAAGTGGCAAGGTCTCGTAATGGGATCTTTGTCTCTCAAATGAAATATACCTTGGATCTATTGAAGGAAACAGGAATGCTAGGAGCCAAGCCTGCAGAAACTCCAATAGAACCTACTGGCAAACTTGACAATAAAGAGGAAGATGAGAAAGATGGTGAAGCCATCATAAAGGATTGTAAAAAGAGAGTCCAAAGAAGGACCCAATTCCTGTTTATGCTGAAAGGTACAAGAGACTAGTGGGAAAACTTTTGTATCTATCTCACACTCGCCTTGATATAAGCTATGCAGTTAGTGTTGTTACCAGATTCACTAATGATCCCCTAGAGGAACACATGAATGCAGTATACAGGATCCTGCATTATTCAAAGATGACTTCAGGTTGAGGACTCTACTTTGCCAAGGGCAAATCACAAGAAATAATAGTATATACTAACGCTGATCATGATGGGTTTCTTCCTGATAGAAGATCAATCTCAGGCTACTACACCATGGTGTGGGGAAATCTAGTGATGTGGAGAAGCAAGAAACAGACAGTTGTCTCTAGAAGTAGTGCAGAGGCTAAACTTTGAGCCTTAGCTCATGGAGTTTGTGAAGGCTCATAGATATTGAGAGTGCCAAGAGAATTGAAACTTGCACCTAGTACTCTTATAAGATTGAGGTGTGATAATATGTCTACTATTGCTATGGTAAGAAACCCGGTTCACCATGTGCATAGACATCGACAAACACTTCATCAAAGAAAAAGAGGATGCTGGAATAATATAAGTAACACGTGTCATCACATTGCCAAGTAGGAGACTTATT